ATTAAAATCGGCAAAAGCACTGTCATTAAATACTCGAAGGCATTTTGTAATGCTATTGTTGCTGTGTATACAGAGGAGTATATGCGCTTACCCAACGAAGCCGATATAGCACAGCTGCTTGAAAAAGGGGAGCAGAGAGGATTTTTGGGTATGCTTGGTTCTATCAACTGTATCCACTAGGAGTGGAAGAAATTGCCCAGTGGAGTGGCACGGCACACATGGGGGACGATCTGACAAGAATACTCTCATATTGGAAGTAGTTGCCTCACAAGATTTGTGGATCTGACATGTATTCTTTGAAATACCGGATTCACACAATGATATAAATGTGTTGGATCATTCCCCAGTATTCAACGGTATCGTCAATGGCCAATTACCTCCGGGTAATTATGTAGTGAATGGACATCACTACAGAATGGAGTATTACCTATCTGATGATATATACCCTAAGTGAGCAACTTTGATGCAGACCATCTCGCACCCAACCACTGCAAAAGAAAAATTATTTGCTCAGCGACAAGAGGCAGCAAGGAAAGATGTGGAACGGGCTTTTGGGGTATTGTAGATTAAGTGGGTAATAATGCAAGGACTAGTGCGTTACTGTGAGAAAGATAACTTGCGCCTCATAATGAAAACGTGCATCATCCTTCACAATATGATCATTGAAGACGAGCGTCGCGCAAATGTTGGAAGATGGACTCCGCCACCGGAGGATGCAATCCCTATTCCTACTTTAAGTCGATGCCCATCGGTTTTAGTGGCATGCATATCCTCTCGCCAACTTCAGATTCGCAATAGAGAGACAAATACGCGGTTAATGACTGATTTGATGGAAAATTTGTGGAATCGCTATGGTAATGAAGATGTTTAATTTTTGTTACATTTTGTTTGCTTTTAAAATGTTATGACATTTCGTGTACCAGAAATTTTATTATGTAATGGTTTTTAAGATAAAAAATAATGAATTGGAATAAGAAAATAAGTATTACAAAATCCTATGGGATAAGTAAATGAATTTATAATTTTAATTATTTTTTTTACAAAAATTTTTTTAAAAAAATTTATATATATTTTTAAAAAAATTATAGCCGTTAAGGCACTATTTGTGTCGGCAAAACAGTGCCTTAACGACAAAATGCATTATTTGTGGTACACATTTAAAATTTAAAGCAAAAAAATAAAAATAAAAACAAATTTTAAAGGAAAAAAACAAGTTTTTTAATTTATTTTTGGTCAAAATAAAATTTATTTTTGACAAACAGTGCCTAAACAATATATTTTTTATTTAATATATTTTATTTGATTTTTTATTTTAAAAAAAGAGCTCAAAATAATCTATTTTTAGGTTTTAATAAAAAATAAAATAAAAAAAATCTGTCAAACAATGTCTCAAGGCACTGTTTGGCACACTGTGGAAAGAACTACTGGAATACGTCAAAAGAGCTGCAACTTAAATGGCGCCGTTTTGAAGCAAAAAAAAAAAAAAAAAAATAAATAACAATAAAAATTCAGCGATCGTGGGCCACCTCGCAGAATACCGAGAGCCGGCCCGCGAGCAAAATTGGGTCTTACCAATTTTGGCTAGCCCGCTGCACCCCCAAATAGTCCATTGGCTCGCCGAAAATGGGCTTTGAAGAGCCTGGTGCAGCTGCTCTGAGGCTATCTCAGCGGGTTAGCTAAAGCCCTTCTTTAGCAACTTTGGAGACCAAATAGTGTGCAACGAGCTAACTTAATTGGGCGGGGCCCACTTTGGCTCGCGGGCCACTTAGCGGTATTCTACGAGCCGGCCCACAATCGCTGTAATTTTTTTTTTTTTTTTTGCAAAACGGCGAACATTTTGCTTGAGCGTTATTATTCTTATTATTTTTTAACAGACAAGATGGCAGGGTGTATTTTTAGAAAAATCCCAAAAATAGGTTATTTTTGAGCTCCTTTTTTTATAAAATAAAATTCATTAAATAAAAAATATATTGTTTAGGCACTGTTTGTCTAAAAATAAATTTATTTGGACTAAAAATAAATTTTAAAAAAATTTCTTTAAAATTTTTTTTGCTTTAAATTTTAAATTTATGTGACAAACAATGCATTTGGCCTAAAAGGTTTTCCCTCTCTTTTTTAATTTTGTTTTTTTGGAAGAGCGTTGGAAAGTTTGATGGGGTGCATGTTTTTAGAAAGCGAAAGCTGCTGACATATCTCTTAAAATTGTTGAGTGCCTCTTAAAAAAGTTGAAGTAATATTTTTAAAGAGTAAAAATCCAAAAAAAAACTTGGTGCAAATGACCTTAAAACCCACCTGCTATCTTCAGAATTTTTTTAAATCAAATTTAATGATAAAGAGATGGATGATGAATCACTTTGGAAAGAGTCAGAAAGTTGTTGATATTTGGGTAGTAGTGTGGCAAACATAGAGAGAGAAAATAAGCTGATGTAGAGAGAGAAAACGAGTCATTGCGTTTAAATTTTTTTTTTTTTAATGTATTAGTGATTGAAAATGTAGTTCAGTGGCTCTTACCGCTCTAAATGATTTTTTTTCATTTTAGGTTTAATTGTACATTATATTTGTTAATAAGTTTTTTTACACTCCATATTTTGTGATAGAATATCATAAAATGAAAGTTTAGTGAAGAATATATATATATATATATTGTTTTGTTAAGCACAAGAGCTTTCAGCACCTAGCATCTACCATAGCTAGAAATTAGAATGCATTTAACAATTAATTAGGAATCTGGCATCTCTATTACCCTTGTAAAGCTTTTCCAAGCTCGTTTAATCCTGGCATCTCTAATTTCTAGCTATCCTAGATGCTAGGTAAAAAAAAAAAAAAAAATTACCATTTACTATAGATAATTGGCGGAATAAAAAATTACCATATATAATTTAATTGGCCAGGGGGCATATATATAATTGGCGCTGAGTGGGGAATAACAAATTACCGCATATATTTAATTGCCCGGGAGCTGTTTGGTTTGTGAGTGGTTTCTAGCTTAAAGTTAGAATTTTGAAATGGGTCAAATGTGAATTTTTCTTTTAAAGAATTCATCTTGGATTCGGATTAGATTAGGGTGTACGTACACATGAAATGGATCGATTTAGACCCGAGATTCAATCCAAACCTAATCAAATTCAGTAGATTATAATTTGTCGGATTAATCTGGATAAAAATTGTATTCATATGATCTAACTTGATCGGACTCAGATTTAACATTGGACTTGGACATTAAATTTATTTTATATTGACAAAAAACACACAATTACTTTGCCCATTTGGGAACTATTATAAGTTCTTGGTCATTAAAATAGGAATCTGGACTTAAATTTACATAGAAATCTTCCATTTAATTGGTTAATAAAAAAACAAAAAAAAATACTTTACCGTATGTATATTTTAATAAATTCAAATTTATTCTTTCTTGGTTGGTTGGGAATGTTTTTGTGATGTATCTTTCTTTTTTTAAAAAAAACCTTTTTTTAATTACATACATGATAAAACCTATTTAAACAATATCTTTTATTAATATTTTTCATGTAAAGCACACCACTTGGATAATAGAGTAGATAATATCCATATAGTATATTATATGACCAATTGGATAAAACTCTTATTTTTTTAATTTTTTTTTCTTTTTGCACAAAGCTATCCTCAATGAACCAATAATTTTTTTTTTTTTTTTGGCACAAAACTCGCCTCAATGAACCAATGATGGGGTTATAGAACTAAATTAGTGTTAGGCGAAGAGAATTACTAAAATGGTCCTGTACGGCTAATTCATGAATCATGACATGGTTTTGATATACTTAGAAGTGACATATGTGATGTCCTCTATTTGGTTATTTATTTAAAATCACATCGCTTTATTACTTCTTAATTTTAGAAAAAAGGCAACAAAAATAAATGAAATCATTGTCATCTTTGACTACACAAGTACAAAAAAATCGTTCTTGTTATACCATGTCCAGTGTGTTTAGTACAAATGAATGCAATTAAGAATAGAATGAGAATGAAAAGGAAAAGTAAAAAATTCCAATAATTTCATGTGGAGAATTGATTTGCGAGATTAGAAACGGTTTCTTTCTCAAATTTAGTGGTCCTTTTAGATCCTTTTTAACCTAATCACCTAATCATCTAAACTCTGACCCACTGAAGCCATTTGCCATCTTGCTTGTTGGACGTAAGGTTCCAAATGTGGTTCAAATATGCTTTTTTTTGTCAATATGTAATAATATATAAGACATATCTGGGACTGGATTGATGGAATAAGAAACAAGAGAGAACGTAAAAACGTCTTGGCCTTTGCCCTTGCCACTTTCTGCAGGCTGCAAAACATTGGACATGAGGGTTTCTCTCTCAAATTTCATGCTTTGTCTACATTGATCTCCAATCAATCCTTGCACTTGACATTTTCATCTCCAAAAAAATGCTCAGACAATATCATATGATAATAGTTTTTATTCCTAGCCATAGAAACAAAGCTGAGGAGAGATACAATCAAAAGCCAGGGCATGTAAACTCTCCCTAGCTGCCAAATAGGCCTGCAAGTTGGATTGGCCCAACCCAGCCCAGTCCTAACCCAACCTCAACCCGAATCGAGTTAGGTTGGACCAACCCGAATTATATTCAACATGGGTTATGATTATAACCCAGCCCGAATATTTTTGAACCGGTTAGGTCGGGTTGACGGGTTAAAAACTTTTTTTAAAACTTTTTTTTGTTTTTGGCAATATATATATATATATATATATATATATATATATTATATTTGATTATATTATTATTAAAAACAAATTATATATATATATATTATATTTTATTTGGGGGGGGGGCAAGTTTAGAGAGAGGCGATTGGGGAAGGCTAAAATGATTATATTTGATTATATTATTATTAAAAACAAATTATATATATATATTATATATTTTATTTAGGGCAAATCATTTTAGCCTTCCCCAATCGCCTCTCTCTAAACTTGCCCCCCCCCCCCATCTCTGCAACAACTGCAAACTACAAAAACTTCAAAGCTCATATATTTCAATTTCATCTAACTGCAACAATCAAAAGTTCAAAACCCATATCGGCATATCATTTCAGATTGTTCAAAAAATCAAAAACCAGATCTTTCAGATGTCCATCGCCCGCTGTTCCAGATCGGGTTCGCCGTTTGCCGTCGGCAAAGCTTCAACCGCTGTCTCTCAACTCTCGACCATTTTAGATCGTTCAAAAAATCAAAACCCAGATCTTTTAGTTTTCATCACTCGCTGTTCCAGTTCGCCGTTCGCTGTTCGCAAGCTTCAACCGTTGTCTCTCTCTGCAACTGCTACCTTGTATGTATGGGGACGGTACACAGAGAAAGAGAAAGAGAAAGAGGGAGAGAAAGAAGAGAGAGAGAGAGAGAGAGAGGGGGGGGGGGGGGGGGGGAGAACGGAGGAAAAAAAAGAAAAAAAAAAATTATTTTATTTTTATTTTTGGGTTTTGGGTTGGGTTCGGGTTGAACCCGAGCCCAACCCGAATATGTCTGGATTTTGACAAAACTCAACCCGAACATGAACCCAATTTGTAAACTTAAAGTCCAAATTTCAAATTCTTGGGTTGGGCTGGGTTAGCCCGCCCAAGTTACAGCCCTACTGCCAAAGCAAATTTTGAACAGTGAGCAGCAACATTAACATTGTAACTTCTAAAACATAGCCCAATACAACATAGTAGCTCACATTAAACCCCCCCAAAATCACTCTTGAATAGAAAAAAATTCCCATCTGTGATGTAACAATGAGTAAAGGTTAATTCTAATTTCTATCAACTTTTTGATTCCTACATATCAACCATGTTGCGCTCTAATTATCCTTCATGATGGGATAGTAACTGTTACCGATGACATTTCCTCTCACTTTTGCGGTGCCCTTCCCTCACCCCAGCTGTTCTTTATGTGAAAGAATTTCTCTTTATTGTTATCAGTCCCAAATCCGTAAACCAAAACACCATGGTAACTGAGACCAACTGGGGTCTTGGCGCTGAAAAGATTCCCTATTACAAACAAAGATTAGCAATTGTTTCTCTAATTAAAAATGAATTACTAAGCAATATTATTTGTTTGTAAAACTGTTAAGACATCTTAGCAAACCTCTTTGTATTTTGTAAATTCCTTGTGGACATCAATCTGTGCAGCTATAGGGCCATCCAACAGGGCTTCGACAAGACTGGTTTCCTCACCATGTGTTATTTGAACAAACTGTTGATCATGGCTGCTTTATGTACCTGAAGCAAGATTAGCTAGTAAAAGAAACAAAGAAAATGAACTTTTTTATGACACAAAAAACTAGTAATTTTTTTATTACATTATCAGACTTGCAATCTTCTTTCTTCCCTTAAAATTTTTAGTCTGACTCACTGCCGAATCACCTCGTTTTGGATCTGGATTTGGAGCTCCTTTCTTGGGGGGTTCTGCACAATTTTGGTAGAGACAGTCTATCAGTTCTTGACATGAAAGCTCAACCATATGTGGCTTTGGATTTTGAATCTGCAGATGAGATTCCAGAATCTCCTTTGGCCCAACAACACACTAAAATGAGAAACCAGACTATTACATACATCATTATTCTAGTTATTAAAGATATAAAACAGAAATTAATTTAAAGATACTCACAATAAGGGACTTGGTCCATAACCTTCTTCCAAACCTTTCCTTTTTTCATCCAAGTTAGAAAGAGAGGAATTTCCAGACCCTGTAAAAAATAAAAAATACTATAATATAGAATAAAATACCAATCAAGTGTAGAACATAATGCATTTGGCTGAGGTGTGACCATTCAATAAATAAGTTCATTTATATAAATACATGTATCCTCCTCACTTCTTAGAAGAGTCGAAACAGAGCCATTTTAATTTAAAAAGGAACACCATGAAAAAAGATGATGAGAGGAAGAAATTGAAAAACACAATGGAATAAAATAAAGTGGAATTAGGAGTTCTAGGGAAAGTTGAAAATAATGAAGATAAATATAAATAAACACTCTCACAGAGGTTATGAGTATGCTTCCGGATTTCGATTCGTGAGGAAACAGTAACCCAAAAAAGAAAAAAAAAAAAAGAAGTAAAAGTAAAATGCATTTGAGGACGCATACCTGGTTTTTTTTTCCGACTCTATCCAATCCAAACTTCTCCGTATTAGTCATTCGAAAATTTTGTATCACCTAAATTGTAAAGATCAAAGGGAATAAAATAATTAAAAATTGGAAATTAATACTTAAAAAAAAAAAAAAAAAAAAAAAGTATTTAGTAATGATAGCGTAAAACCAGAATATTGATGTGTAATAACACTAAATGAATAGCATAAACAAGAACAAAGCATATGCACAAACAAAGTGTACAGCAGATGAAATGGGCAGGATAATGGTATTATTAATTTATGGATCCCATTATAATATGTATAAAACAATACATGATCTGATTGGGGAAACAGAAAACAAAGATTATGACAGAAACTCTCAGAAACAGAAATCTCACCTTGCCTTGCCTAACAGGGTCAGGGTCAGGGTCACGCTCTTTTCTTTCTTTTGGAACCATTTTAGATGGGTCTCTGTCTCAAACGGCCTCCTCCGACAGTGATCCGGTGAAAACCAGTGAGAGAGAGATATGAGTGCTTGGAATTACTGGGTGGGTATATAAGAAAATAGCAGAAAAACAATTAATGGGTTAGAGTACTGAGCATTTAGAACAAGTCTGATGCTCCACCAACTCTCTGCATTTAAAACTTAAAACCCACCTGCTATCTTCAGAATTTTTAAAAATCAAATTTAATGCTAGAGAAAGTTGTTGATATTTGCATAGTAGAGTGAACAAACATAGAGAGAAAAAAAGCTGATGTAGAGAGAGAAAACAAGTCATTGCGTTTAAAATTATTAATTTAAATATATTAGTGATTGAAAATGTTGTTCGGTGGCTCTTACTACAATCAATTAGGTTTAATTATACATTATATTTGTTAATAAGTTTTTGTACACTCCATATTTGTGGTAATATCATAAAATGAAAATTTAGTGAACGAATAATTTTTTTGATAGCTAGAAATTAGGATGCATTTAACAATTAATTAGGAATCTGGAATCCAAGGGCGGATCCAGATTGTGGAATTCATGGCAAGCCCCTTCCAACACTGTGGAATTCACTCAAAAGCATTCTTTTTGTAAGTATTTTAATTTTCAAGAAGAAACTTTAGATCTTTACCCTATATTAAGTACTTTTGCTTGTCAAAGTTCTTGTTATGATTTTTTTTTTTTAGTTCTGAAAAGATTTCCATCTTCAAAAAGATTGGCATGTTGATAAAAATTGTTTCAGATTCAATCTCTACAAAAAAAAAAAAACACAGAAGCAGAAATAGAATTTAAAGAAATAAAAAAAAAAAAATTGTTTTGCTGAAATAAAATGTAGATTACGGTATTACCTAAAAATGCAATGCAAATTTTGTTACTAAAATATATATATATAAAAGATCATGAAAAATTTCACCAAATAGGATTTAGTTTGCAAAACAAGAATTACAGAGCTTGATTAGTTGATTTAGAAGAAAAAAAATTAAAACAAAACCCATACATACAAGTTAGCAGTTGCAGAGAGAGAGAGGGGGGCAAGCTTGAGAGTTGAGAGCCAGCGGCTGAAGCTTGTGAACGCGAACCCGAACTGGAATAGCGGGCGATGGAAACTGAAAGATACGGGTTTTGATTTTTTGAACAATCTGAAATAATATGCCGATATGGGTTTTGATATAGGTAATAGGTTTTCAACTTTTGATTCTTGCTGACTGAACTGAAATATATGGGTTTTGAACTTCTGATTCTTGTAGATTTTGTAGTTTGCAGTTGCAGAGAGAGATAGAGGCGAATGCTGAAATGATTTGCCCTAAAAATATTTGACGGCGTTTGTTGCCCTAAAAAATGGTCAGGGCCGGTCCGGGCTTATTTGGGCTTTATTTTAGCATGTTGTTGAGTTGACTTGGGTCTAATTGAGTAGGCTAATATTATTAATTATTTTGTTTTTGAGCTAAGTTAAAAATAGTATATAATTTTTTATTTTTTTTTTGTGGTTGGGCTCAAGTCCACCTCTACATCTGCCGTGCTGCATCTTTATTTCCTTGTAAAGCTTTTCCAAGCCCCTCTAATCCTTGGCATCTCTAATTTCTAGCTATCGTAGCTGCTAGGTAAAAAATAAAAAATTACCATATACTTGGCGGAGTGGGGGAATAAAAAATTATCATATATAATTTAAGGGAAGTGTAAAAAATACCCTTTAAGTATATATTTTGAAATGCTTTTACCCTATTTAAAATAATGTGCAAAAAAACAATTCTATTCTTTTCAATTTGTATAAAAATATTCCTCAATTAATATAATATCCATTTTACTCTTTTACTATACCAAAAATGCCCCTACCAAATTCACTAATCTATTGTAATAATTGGAGTTTACTGTTGTGAGTTCGTTTGTGATTTATCAGTTTTGGAGAGATTATGCACATAAGCGGGGTGAAAGAAAATAAATTGAAACAATTATTGGCGAGTTTGGTTCTTGGATTTAATGAGGACAAAGAAATGGAAAGATAGGAAGTAAAGTAAAGCCATTTCCCCAATGTATCTTGCTTTCTAAAAAGTATTACATTCGATCTCACAACCTTTGGCATCACAATGGGCAAGATGGGTTGTGGATGAACTTTGTCAGTGCTCGGATGGTGGAGAGACGGAGACGGCGACAACGAGCTTGGTCGGTGGAGACAGGGTGGTGCAGTGGTGAGCTAGGCTTGTGGAGGGCTCGGCCGTGATGGTCTGACCAGCGATGGAGGGTCGGCTATGGAAAGGTCGACCGGTGAACTGCGGGTGGTGAGCAAGAGGGAGGACTCGCGGGATTGAACGGCAATGGCCTTGCGACGGGCAAGGCGATGACGGATCGGCGAGGATGAAGACGGACCAGCGAGGATGAAGAGGGACGGTGATCAAGGAGAACTCGGCTGGAACTGATGGCGATTCGCGAGGACAGTGAGCTTGGATCAGCGGTCGACGAGCAAGAGGGAGACTTGGCGGGTGATGGCGATGGCAACGAACAACGATTAGTGAATTCGTGATTTCGGCGATGGGTTGTGAACTACGGCTTCGGATGATTAGTCTGATTTCGATTGGGATTCGTCTCCGGCAGGTTGTTGGGTCTTGCTGGTAGCGGTCGCAATTCGTTGTGCCGTTCTCCTTAGGGGGGTTGTTCTTTCGGTGGGTTTGTGTGACAATTGCATTGTGGACGTTTGGGGTTGCAAATTGGTGGTTGGTTGTTGTTTGGTTGATCAATTTGTTGATCAATTTTCTGGTGTCTTCTTCTCTTCCACCGGCGAACTGGTGGGTGTATAGATTTTTGGGTGTTTTTTTTTAGGCGGCCCTTTTTTAGTCATTTCACAAAATATTATGTTTTTATATATATTATTATATGTATAGATAAGGGTATTTTAGTCATAAATGTGTGAGTAGGACTTATTTGCACAAATATCATAGTTTAGGAGTATTTTTTGCATGTGAGGGGTGCCATATGCACCGTAAGCATCCTATTGAGGTGTTTTGTGCACTTCACTCTATAATTTAATTGGTCGGGGGCATGTATATAATTGGCGCGGAGCAGGGAATTAAAAATTACCATATATATTTAATTGCCCGGGCTGTTTGGTTTGTGAGTGATTTCTAGTTTAAAGCTCGGATTTTGAAATGAATTTCAAATATGAATTTTTTTTCGGATTAGATTAGGATACATGACACATGAAATGGATCAACTTAGATATGAGATTCGATCCAAAACTAACCCAATTCAATAGATTAGAATTTGTTTGGATTAAACCATAAATTCATGACTTTTGGATAAAATTGTATCCATAGGATCCAACTTGATCGGACTCGGATTTAATATTAGACTTGAACATTAAAATAAGTATTTTTATTTTATTTTATTTTATATTGGCAAAAAATACACATCACTTACACATTTACTTTATCCATTTGGAAGCTCAAACCCTCGTGATTCTCTTTGAGAGGGAGATGAGATAATGCAAGGCCTTGGTCATTAAAATAGGAATTTGGACTTGAATTTACATAGAAATCTTCCATTTTATTGGTTAATAAAAAAACAAAAAACTATACTTTATCACACATGGTGTGTCTTCCCCTTCCAGCAGGATCAGAAAAGGTTTGGGCCTAGAACTTAGGACTTGCAGGCTCAAAGCTCTCCCAGTTTGTTCTTTATTCCCTTCCTTTTCAATTTTAGCTTCTGTGATTTTTTTTTTTTTTTTCCTTCCTTTTTTTTCGAAATATTAAGCAATAGTTAGAATAATTACAAGGAGGCCTTCGGCCGAAGAAGCCCAAAATATGCAGAAAACAATTAGTCCGTCGAAAGAGCTCAATCCATTAGAAAAGAAGACCCTTATAAGAGAAGCCCAGCCCAAAACCCAACTAAAAAACCATAATTAACATGTTTTTCAGCGTGCAAGACTCTCCATATACCTATATTTTGGCACATTTTAAGCTGAGACCACGGATCCTAAGATTTTAAGATTTAGGCAGGTCCGCTTAAACACATACTCACACCCGGTACATGCACCAGATTTAGGTAACAAATTGATATCCTATTAGTCCCGGAGAAAAAATAAAAAGAAAAATAAAGGAAAAAGAAATAAAATAAATTTCATGTTTCTAAGTAATCATCTAACTTTATTAGCTTTCTACCCAATAAATGAAAAGAAAATCATAAGTTATTGACAACTTAACCTAAGGGATATTACCATACACTTTCACATGCCTTGACACTGTAAAATCATCATCATCATCATCTTCGTCTTCGCATAAGGTTTCACAGGTTAAAGACAATCTTTACTCAAAGAATTGAACCTGAATCCTTCTGTAGTTGTTTTTCTGTTAAGTATCTTACACAGGTCCACTGGCCAATACCAGTAGATGATAGGATAAAAACCAGAATACTTTATAATAACCAATATAAAAATATAGAACCATACAATTCAAGTTATCACTCATAACAACAAATTAATTATGTTTATTTCCAGAAAGTACTTAGAAATCTAGAGAGAGCAAAGTATAGAAATCAATGGATGGATCTAGCCTTGGACAATAGAGAACACTTATAAAGGTTGCGAAGGTCTTTTGAAGATGCACTCAAATTAGGTTCCATATTTGGCAGTTCAAACAAGGGAATCAGTGGTTAGACTCGCAGAAGGGCAAGCAGAACAGGCGGAACACCTGGCTTGAGATTTAATTATGGTTCGGGATTTTATGTTAAACCGAGGAAAAGCCGAACCTATTTTCACAAGTGAGTACTGGAAAGTACTCAAGAGTGACATGTAGAGAGGCAAGTATGAGAAAGCAAAGATGGTGACGGGGAGGAAAGCAACTGAGTATAAGGCGATTCTTGTCCAATGTTGCTTATTACGTATCGTTAGGATAATTGTTGCTGCAAAAGCCAACATCATCATTGAAATAGACAAAATCAGGAATGTACTCCTAGCATCAGTTTTTGAGGAAGAGACTGTTTGAAGTCCTTTAATCGAAAAGCGGATGTGAGGATGGAGAGAAATGTAACCACCGACGTCAAAGCGAGTGTAAGGGAGAGAGTACGTCAGCAATGGCGAATATCACAAAGAAAGGCTGGTTGAGAAGAATGGGGTAACCGGTACTTTGGTTTGGGCCTCCTGGTACTGTGTAGACTGCAGCAAAGGCAACGGTGGCAATCAGCACAGCAACAATGGAGCAATTTTCTGCAGTGCGCTTTAGCCATTCTTTGGCGTCTGTACGGAGTTTGTCCTTATTATTGGCAAATAGATGTTTAGCAGTCTCCCCCTTAGAGTTGAAGTGCTTGGTGAAATGGGTTTCAGAGAGTTTTTGCACACGCTGCACGTAGTAGAAGCACACAAAGAACTTTGTTTTAGTTTTAACACAGGTTTAATTTCTGAATTCTTATGTTTTTTTAGTCCCTTCACAATTAAAAATGAAGCACAGTGCTTCAAGCTGTTGGATCATAGTCCCTAGCATTAACGGATACAGAATTGGACCAACAGTCTTTGATCCACTGGCTTGAAGCCTCCATAATGGCCATGCTTGTATGCTATGAAATAGCATGTGTTTGTGTGGATGCTTATATGGAATGTAAGGATCGTACCTCAAACAATAGCAATTCCTCTTGCAATAATAAAGCAGGGCTTCGCATGTCCTCAGCTGCACGATGTGTTCTTTTTCTCCCAACCATATGCAGTATGGAGTTCCCATCATTGTCAATCTTCATCATGAGCCTCATCATTGGGATTTCCATTTTTTCTACAAGGTCAAAAATTTGCATTTGGCAATGCTTGACTGCAACGTGTAAGATATTACACCCATCATCATCAATATGCTCGACTGCTTGAGGATATATCTTGAGTATCTCTTCAACAATTTCTATAATGCCTGCCTTAGTAGCCAAAAATAATGGAGTTTCGGCAGTGTCTACAGTGCTCGCATGACTAGTTTGGGTCATTTGTACTACCTCTACTCCATATTTGTGGGTCTTAGTTTTACTCCGACCAATTGCAGATTCAGTGGCCTCCCATGAGGTATCTTTTTCTATCAAGAACTTGGCAAGTTTCAAAGCAGACTCATACCTCTGTTTTTGCTTCCTAATTGCTTCCCATAAGGGCACCCGATAACATGATTCTTTTCAAGAAATGAAAAGTCAGTACCCCCATTCAAGGGGGGAAAAAAAAGTCAGTCAAAGTTGTCTACATATATAAAGATTGAAACGGTAAAACTACAAGAAATACATGTTTGTCTATGCTGAACCATGAAATCATCATGAGAGAAGGAATTCTATCAAAAAGACTCTTCCAAGAAACCAAAATGATTATCATATTATGACGATAATGCATGAGAAAAAACAATGCTGTAAACTTTACCATACAGCCCTTTACCTTCTTCTTTCACAATAGTATCTTTGGTTACAACACCTGCAAACACCCAAATTTTTTCCCTGATATTTAGGACTTACCTTATCACAGAGAAAAAATGAAAGAAAAGAAAAGAGAACAACAAATCAGAACAAACATAAACATGGAATTAAAGATCAGTTTT